TTTACTACCTATGCTGATAGCCTTGAGAGGCTATATCGCCCTAACGTGTAGGTGAGCTCACGGGGCTCAAACCGGAGTGATGCTAACACTGACCCTAGCAAGAGCAGTGCTTCGCAGAATCTACCACCGGATCGGAAACGCAACTCACTGAGAAGATCCGGTGAGAAACTCAGTGGGCTGTGTCTGTGGGGTATTTCGCTCGTCGAGGTCGACGACGGGTTCGACGAGGACGTTGACCGGTGCTTGTGGTACCTAAAAGGTATCTAATTAATGGATCAGGAGGATCCATGATTAAGTGTTTTGGGCGACATCGACTGTTTACCATTCGGCCTACAGGATCGGGTATGTAATTTCCAGCGGCTGTGACAAGAGGATTCTCATGTGGTGCCGCCTTCTCAAAGTGAAATTCGTTGGTCTGAGCCTCTGTGTCTAGAGGGACGTTGTTTCTAGCCATGTCTAAAAATCTATAATAAAATTAACTTATCTCAGTAAACCTTCACAGGCGCTTTTAAATCGTCGCGAGTAACCCACTGAGTTTCTTGCCGGATCTTCTGTGGGTAGCGATTCTGATCCGATGGTACATTCAGGGAAGCACTGCTCTTGCTAAGGCACATGTTAGCAGTTTCTCAGAGAGCCCCATGCGCTCACCCACCAATTACAGTTAAGCCAGAATAGCCTCTCAATGCCGCTGGCAGATAGACAAAAAAGTGGCTGTACAACTTATTCGGAGTTTTCATCCATCATCAAAAAATATGGTTAGGACCAAAACTAAGTTGCAAGCAGCAACAGCATTTTCAACGATGCTAAGTATATTTCGCATTACGCATCCCATAGGCATACTTACGATTACCTGTAAAACAGGTCCATTTTAACCACACAAGAACGAGGTTTTCGTTCTGGTTACTGAGGAAATAATTAAAAACAAACACTTAGGGAAAATGTATTTTTATTTTCAAATTTACAAAATCAATCACATTCCGTTTAGGAGGGTACATATAAAATTTGAGTTTTAAGAACACGCAAACCGGCACATTTATGAAATCACATGTTTTTGTTTCGTAACAATATTTTGACAGCAATGTGTAAAATACAAAAAAAGAAAAAAACTAGTCATTGTCAGAATAAAGTTTTTTAAATGGGCTTGGTGTCTTCGTCAAAAAAAAAAACAAATCTTTTGCAAAATAAAAAAAAAGTTTTCAATAACCACAGGTCCGAAGAGGCAATGACCGAATCGACATACAAATCAGTACCTTTTAAATTGCCTTTAAAAATATGTGTATTGTATAAATTGCCGGCTTTTTTTATTACTTAGACGGTGTTTAGATGATTACCGGAGTTCATAGAAATCAACAACGTATATACCGCCACCCACCTTGAGATATTAGTCTCAGACACGTCATTACGGATCCTCCCGATCCATTAACGGTGCTTTTAGGTACCTCAAGCACCGGTCACCGTCCTCGCCGAACCCGTCGCTTGCGACGTAGGGCTCGACGAGTAAATTAACCCATAGACGTATCCCACTGGGTTTCTTGTTGGATTTTCTCAGTGGGTCGCGTTTTCGATCCGGTGGTAGATTCTGCGAAGCACTGCCCTTGCTAGGGCCAGTGTTAGTAACACTCCGGTTTGAGCCCCGTGAGTTCACCTACACGTCAAGGAGAAAGAAAGGACATGAACTCACCAAGGGTAAAACTAGTTTGAGATTTTGTCTTTTATATTACTTATAGATGAATTCAATACCTATCTATACTATGAATCATGAGATAAAAGTCTCAATCGTATTGTTGGTATAACGTCTGCCTCCCATCAAAACTTATTCTAAGGGTGTATCCCCTCATTAACATTGTACCCTGGTAAAGTTTAGCGGTCACATAGTCATGCATTTATATGCGGGTCTATCGACGGGACTCACCCACCGGCCATCATTATCAAAAGCTTAAGATGGACTATCAATATTTGAAGGCCTCCGGACCAAACGAATGAGACTTTTTTTTTACAAAAGCTTAAAATATCACCATTATCATTTGAAAAGAAAGTGTTCTTGTTTTTTACTAAAGTATTAATTTTACTAGTCACTCTCGCAATGTTATTTACAAATAATTTATTTAATTAATTGGAAATATCTGTTTATGGGAGTCCCTCATAACTGAACTAGGAAACAATTGAAATCATTATCTGATTATATCACAAATTATGAGCGTTATTTAAAGTGTAAAAGGTCAATTCAAATTTACATTACGTTTATGAAATTATTTCAATATTATTTTATTAAATTTATTATTTATATATTCCTAGATCAGAGACTTTAAAGGAGTTTTTAAAATGGTAAGTATTTTGTACCAATAGGAAAAAACTAGATAAGATTTTTAAAGTAATTTTGTTAGGGAAAGTCTAGAGGTATAAGTTCATTATGAAAAAGGGGTCTCCTGCCCAAAACAGTTTGGGAATCCCCGTTCTAAATGAACAGACAAACTCATAGTCCACCTGGCGTTTAGTGGTTAGCGAAAACCGCGGGCACCACAACATGAATACCGACTTTGAGACATTAATTCAAAGTTTGTATTTCAATAACGATCGTTGATACCTAATTCGCGGCAGAAATGGGATTGTGGTACTCGCCCCTAATATTATGCCTCACAGAATACGCATTGGATTGTTTTGGTTCGGCGTCATTTTTTTATCGTGATTACGTATTCATACAGATTTTTTTCTACCTGCCTGCAGGATTAGATTGAATGAACATTCTTGTTCGACTTTTGTGTATCGCCGAAATCTTATTGAACATAACATTTATTTTAAAGAGATGTTTCTTTAAAGCATTTTCAGGATTTTTTACTATACTTTTATTTGTATTGACTGGACCCACGAGAACGGAAAACGTGGCGGACAGTCTACCTTTATCACCAATATCGGACCCTATACTTCTATTTTTTACAAAACTGTTTGATCATCGACGGGAATTTATTTCGATATTTGTGAGTAAGAGAAAGACTTCGCTTCGCTTCGGAAACATTAAATTTTATTATTGATAGCTGAGTCCCACGATGTTACCCGCAGTTATTGTCGTACCACGGGTGATACCGCGGGACGAAGCTAGTCTAAAAAAAGTAGCCTAAGTTACTCCTTATATCAAAAACTACCTATCAGTGAAATTCTTGACAAAATCGGTCCAGCCGTTCCAGAGATTAGCCGGAACAAACAGACAGGAGGACAAAAATTAAAAAAAAATATTTTGGTATGTGTACTGTGGTATACATAACTACGCATTTAGTAAAAAGTTGTTATTTTATTATTACAAACAGACACTCCAATTTTATTTATTTGTATAGATATTGATATAGTTATGTTGTCAATAATAGTTTTAACGATCACTGAGCCGCTAATCTCGATAACTCTAACTGTATGTATAAGGTCACTAAATCGAAATGTACAATGCGAGCCGTGAAAGGTTTCGCACGGGAGGCTACTCCATCTTTCGAACAATATTCAACATATTGATGTTTCGCACCCATTCAAGGGAGCATCTTAATCTGTTTATATTGACTACTATTTCAAAAGAAACGGCATTAAAATTCGGCAAAAATTACTGTACTATATATTTTTTGTGACAATTTGTTCATTGTTGAACATAAAAGACTGCGAATCGGAGATCCTAACTTGTAGTATTAACTTCGGTTTTCGCGAGTAGTAGACCCAATTCAAAATAATTAAGGTTTAATCTCCATTAAAATAAACGCCCTAAATAAAGAAAATGACGGGCGCTTGACTAACACCCGAGACCATCTTATCGTGAAGATAAAAACCAAGTCAAACATAATACCAGACCTGGAGATACTTTGTTAATGGGTCGCGATTCCGATCTGTCGGTAGATTCCGCGAAGCACTGCTCTTGCTAGGGCTAGTGTTAGCAAATTCTCTCTGGTTGAGCCCGTGAGCTCACCTACCCGTCTGGGCATAGCTAGATTAGCCCCATAGGCTACCAACGAAAGGCAGGGAAGAAAAAAATAAGATATCAACGTTGTTGATTAATGCTTATGGACTCTGGTAACCACTTAACACCAAGAAGCCGTGAGTTCGTTTATTCATAACAAAAGATACGGAATCCCTGATAGATTAGACCTAATGAGGAATTCTGACGTATACGGACCGACAATTAATAAATGATTATTATGATTTATTTTTTATTTCATAGATGGGTGGACGAGCTTACAGCCCACCTGGTATTAGGCGGTTAATGGAGCCCATAGATATCTACAACGTTAATGCGCCACCCAGCTTGAGATATAAGTTCTAAGATCTCAAGTATAGTTACAACGGCTGCCCCACCCTTCAAACCGAAACGCATTACTGCTTCACGGCAGAAATAGGCAGGGCGGTTGTACCTACCCGTGCGGACTCACAAGACGTCCTACCACCAGTAATTACACATATAGCATTAAATTGTAGTTTAGATTTTAATTACACGATGTTATTCCATCATTAGATACGTGTTTCATTAGATAAATCGGTACCCGTCTGCGGGCATTCGAACACCGGCACTGTCGCATCGCTCGATACGAATGCACCGGACGACTTATCCTTGAGGCCACGACGACTTTTGTAGTATAATTTGTTAAAGTGGTGTTAATTAGTTTCGGAATCGATTAGTCTAAGATCGATTAAAATCGTTTCTACCGGTTCGGTAAAATGAAATAGAACATGCACATAACATTTACTGTGAAAACCTATATAATAACACAATTAATAAAATCGATTTTTCTTTCATTTGAGTCGACTATTATCAAAGCCGGCAATGTGACTTTTGGATAATTATTGGTAAATCAGAAAAACGAATTATTGACTTTGTATTTCATTGGCAGTCACAAAACTCTTCTGAACGACATCTTAGATAAATAACAGGTTAAGTATTAACCTTTATTTAATGCAGGTTTTGAACCATATTCTTTGAAGGAGACGATTATATTCAAATCAATCTGTATTGACATATCAATAACATTTTTTTGTCCAAATGCTCAGATTGCCACCTTTGATAATAGACGACTCATTTAAAGTATTCCCCATCAAAAATACATAGCTTACTATTAATAAAAAAAAAAAAAAAATTGCGTTAAAAATACAAAATTAAATAATACTAAACTCTAAACGTGGACCGTCACTAGAAAAAAAAAAAAACGCTTTTTTTACGCAACTGCATTATTCGTTCTTCATTTTAGTATTTCGATTTCAAGGGCGCGGTACTCAAACGATCTGTTGAGGCCGAGAGACACTTTCAAAATCTTGGTTCGTTTTTGTAGAACCATTTTCACTTATACAAGCTCGCCGTTTAGACATTGTTGTTTGTGACGTCAACAGTTCACACTCAGTGACGTCATTAATGCGCTAGGAGTGATCGTACGACTTGAAAATCCCTCGCCATCGGAATTCCCATCTAAAGGATTTCATTGCCGATTTGGAACCGGATCCCTCCAGCATCTCGTCAATATAGTCTGCTTAGTGCGAGTATTTTAACGCTCTCGATAGCGTAAAAGTTAACTCGAATTTGTATGGAGAGCGTTTGCGTACGTTTGCCGCTAGGGGCGCTGTTCCAACTGCATACAAACTTGAGTTAACTTTTACGCTATCGAGAACGTTAAAAAACTCGCATTAAGCACCCTCATATGCATTGCGAATACGCCTCGGAAATAAAACACAATATCCACGCCAATGCCAATTCGAACTGCCCTTAAGAGAAAACTTCTCTACGTAAATACTAAACAATGAAATACGAAAAACACATTTGCATCGTCAATAATGTATACTTAAATAAATAAAACAGTATTACCTACTATTTCTAGTACTAAAATAAGGACAAGAGTTGCGAATGTCGACGAGACATTAAAAAAGTATATAATTATATGTATATATATACGATTTCGAGTCATTTGCGTTATTAGCTACAAATTGTATTTCATAATTATTTTTATAAAAAAAAAATCGTTATAACGAACCGCTATCGCTGTAGCAGCCCTAAATTGAACTAAAACATGTCGTATCCATTGAGATTTATAGTTTAATGTACATACTACAGGCCGGACTGTCTACACTAGAACGTCACTCACGCCCCAGGTCCCGGAATACTCTTGTGTGACTCTGCTGCCCTGGTATTTGATTAGTTCCTGTAATTAAAAAATAATTTATTATAATCGAATCATTAGTAAATATGTTTGGGTGTTCATACGGGGGACCAGGTCGCGGCCTGTCGAGTCTCGTCTTGAGACATGAGGTCGCAATGTCAATTGTTTTGTGGAAAAGCTGACCCATATTTTAATCGAATGCGACTGCTTTGCGGAAGAAAGAGACAGTATGATGGTATCTACCCGGTACTCACACGCACCACTTCCTACTACTAGTTAGACGGATGTTAATCTATACTAATATTATAAAGCTGAAAAGTTTGTTTGTTTGAACGCGCTAATCTCAGGAACTACTGGTCCGATTTGAAAAAATATTTCTATGTTAGATAGCCCAGGTATCGAGGAAGGCTATATAACATTACGCTAAGACCAATACAAGCACTAATAAAGAATGTTTCAAAATAGGGGTTGAAATAGCTTCCTTAATATTCTATAATTCAAAAATATTTTCACTTTCTACGTAAATGAAGTGGGGGGTAAAATTTAGCGTTATGCCAAAGTAACTATTCCACGCGAACGGAATCGCGGGCAAAAGCTAGTTCAATTATATTTTTCATTTTACGCATTTGATAACATCACGCTAAGACCAATGCAAGCGGAGCACCAACAAAGAATGTTTCAAAATCGGGGGTTTCAAGCCCTTTTGAGAACTTCCACTGCGTGCGCTGCGGAAACGGTTAAAGTTTAAGTTAAGTTAAGTACGTAAATGAAGAAGCGGGTAAAATTTGGCGTTATGCCAAAGTAACTATTCCACGCGAAGTCGCGGGCAAAAGCTAGTTATTTAATAAAAATGATTACTTAAATCATCCAAAACTTACAAATGTGCCGTTCATAGGTGGAAGTGAAACCTTCAGATGTATTTTATCTCACTCATACACACTATCCTCTTCTTGCCCGTATCCCAGTACGGAGGGATCGACGCAGCGTGTCCTCATTTTCCTTTCAGGTCTATCATACATCTCCGCATCCACACCTATCTCTTATCCACCTTCACAGAGTCCATTCAAGTTTTTAGGACGTTTACCTCCACCTTTCACACTATCTCCACTATATGTATAAGTTTCTCCTTTTAATCTTGCTTTTCGTGGTCATCACGTAGTGATGTCCATCGACTCTTGTGACCACAATCAGTGTGTCGCTACACAAATACTCACCGCGGTACCAGGCGCGCAGCAACGTCGAGGAGGTCGCGAGCGAGGCCGACCGGCTACCGGCTGAGGTTGCTCACGTACAGAGCCTTGAGTTCGGTCTTTGGCATGTTCTCGAACAAGGCGGCGCGGTTCTGTCCCTCGCCCTTCTTCACCCAGTGCCCGTACACGCGGAACGCGCACCCGTCTATCACCTGGAACACGACCAGGAGACGCGCAACGTTAGGAACTGATTATACTGGGGATTTCACTGGTGGTAGGACCTCTTGCGAGTCCGTGCGGGTAGGTACCACTACCCCGCCTATTTCTGCCGTGAAGCAGTAATGCGTTTCGGTTTGAAGGGTGGGGCAGCCGCTGTAACTATACTTGGAGCTTATATCTCAAGGTGGGTGGCGCTTTTACGTTGTAGATGTCTATGGGCTCCAGTAATCACTTAACACCAGGTGGGCTGTGAGCTCGTCCACCCGTCTAAGTAATAAAAAAAAAACTGCTAGTCAACCGTACAATGTTCCACCGATGAGCACCTTTTTTGTGAGATTTTGAGTTCTCTGGATTGTGGTGGCAAGAAGATGCAATAAGCAAAGACTGTTTTTTTGAATATGCCTTGAAATCTTAGAATTTTTTTTGTAGCATATTTTTTTTGGTGCATTTGCAGCAGACGAACTTCCCATCCGCTTCCCATAAGGTCGGCCCTATGACCTGATGGGAAGCGGTTACCATGGATGTCAGCAATACCAGGGACAGAGCTAAGCCGCTGCCTACCTATGAAAAGAGTATAATATAGGTATAGCCAGGGTCAGATTTAAACTTAAAGCCGCTCCTGGGCAGCAAAAAAAAAAATTCGCCCTAATACTGGATTTTACTTAAATTTATAGTTTTATTTTTCAAAATTAAAATAAAAATGTATTGCAGAAACATAAATATTTTTTTTTTCAATCATAAATTTGGCACTAAGGTTTTCTTATAAATACTCATAATTATACTACATAAAAAAAAGATACTAATTAACTTGCTTTAATTCCAGAAAATAGAAAAATTGATTATTAAGTATTTTCAATCTTTAAACAAATTGATTAAATTATTTTGATTATTAATTTTTCACAAAAATGCCAAAATTATATTATTAAAAAATAATGGATGAATTGAATTTCTTGAATTATCAATTAAACAGCATATTGAGCAATCTTGATAAGAATACAAAAAAAAATATTCACTTTCAAAAATTTGCCGCCCTGGACGCTTGCCCTGACTGGCCTTAGTGTAAATCCACCACTGGGTATAGCTCGGCAGGGGCCGCGCGGGTGTGTAGGTACCGACCTTCCTGAGCGCGCGCACGGCGTAGGGGTCCCTGGCGGCGTCGGCGAGGGGCAGCGGGCGCGCCGCGGTGTGCGGGAGGCGCCGCAGCCGCACCGCCGCGCGCACCGTCACCAGCGCCACGCGCAACTTGGCGCGCCCGTTGAAGCTGCCGCACTTCATTGCCTGTGCCGCGCCAGATTTAAACTTATAGTAGCCCTTTTTCCCCTATCTAATCATTTTTCTTTTTTTTTTCGTTTTTTCTACCTAAGCTTAAGCCTTAAGAGGGTATATCAACGTAACCTTAATTAGTAGGTGAGCTCACGGGGCTCAAACCTAACGTTATTGCTAACACGAACCCTAGCAAGAGCCGTGCTCTCGGAATCTACCACCGGATCGGAAACGCGACCCACTGAGAAGATCCGGCGAGAAACTCAGTGGACTGAGTCTGAGGGTTAATTTACTCGTCGAGCCCTTCGTCGCAAGCGACGGGTTCGACGAGTACGGTGACCGGTGCTTGATGCACCTAAAAGCACCGTTACTGGATCTGGAGAATCCGAAATGACGTGTTTTGGGCGACGTCGACTGTTTACCATTCGCTCCGCAGGATCAGGAATGTAATCAAATCTTTCGTAGCCTACGGAGCTATTCCAACTACGCGCGGACGGGTATTATAACGCTGTGTGCAATACTATTGGAGACACAAACCAAAAAACTAAGGCCCGCTTTTTCCCTAAGCTTATGTATCTCAAGATATTTATATTACGAGGTATTATGCAATCACTCTTTAATGATTTCAGTTATTTATGAGCCGGGAATGTGAAGTTTAAAAACACCGAAATAGAACTAAGAACAAACAACAAACGTCAGCTAATTATTTAGGGTGATACTGTGTTAGTAATACTATAATACATACAATTGATTTACCACTCTATTCGTCTAAGACGAGATTTTCCAGTAAATGCATTAAAAATATTAAATTTTAAGTAATCATAGTATTATTAAAAATAAATACTATTCGAAATATTGGAAATAATATAACTATATATATGACTGGAGAAATTTCAACTATCACAGTGATTATTTTTAAACGTCAAAAATAGATTCTTTCATTTGGAATAATCATAAAAAAAATAGGCATAAAAATTTCTAACACTTTTTATACAGCGACATGCAAGGGTCACATTCCCCGCGCACAATCAGTTCTACAAACAGTTCTGAGGCTCAGACTATTAGCATTTAATATCTCTCGTGAAACTAAAAAACTGCTCCACAAACTAAGCCCTCATTAGGTTTAACGTTCTATTGAAACTAATATAATTCCAATTACAACACATTTTGCATTTTGGTTTTATATCCCAAAATATGTTACTTATCTAATATTAAGTTATTGCCTGAGCCCATGGGAATTAATACGTAAATAATAACCCGACTTGAGACATGAATTCAAAGTGGCACTTTCATTTCATTTCTTCCAACGAAACGCGTGACTACATCTCGCATGACATCCACCCTTGGGGCTCAAAATGCTACCATCAAGCACACAAATCATTACGAAATACACTCTATTGATATCATTCCTAAAAACACAAGTCAGTACAACACACGAATTCAATTACATAAAGTTTCTAACTACATATAACGTGCAAACTAAAAAAAAGCAACGTGCTAAATGATTCGCGGCGAAGCAACTTGTGTTCCGTGTCTGTCCCGGACACTACCGGGCAATGTCCGTTGTCCTAACGTGTTCTATAGGAGAAAACATGATAATGTCCAGTCAAAAATCATCATAATTGATGCCTTCAACATAAATGCTGCTTACTGGTACTAGGCTAGGGGGTTTTTAGACTAAAATTCAACAAGTCCTTTGTCCTTTCAAAGGCTTTGAAGGCGGCCATATTTACTTCTCGCTCGACGGAAACTATCAGATCATTAACAGAGCAAGAGAACATAGAGAAATCAGATTTGGGTAAAAGTCTCAACGTGCAAATAACGCAGTTTTGTCGGATATTAATTAATAAATACATTGATTTACGACCTTATGCGTTCTATTTTCTAGAAAAGTCTATATTTGGATTTGAATTAACTGGAACTTGTGACAAATCGAAAAAAACATTAGATTAATCAAAGTAAAAGTGTAATTAGAAGAGGAATTTAGTTGTCTAAAATAATTTTGTACCCAAACCCCAAATAATTTTGCACACAAACTAGCATTCCATGACAAGCAACCCCACCGAATCCGAACAACGAATTTACCATGCTGAGCTGCTCGATCCTAGACATCCTGCGGCTTTGCGTCGAGAAGCTCTGCTTCAGCGGCTTCATATCCTGGTCCCACAGCTATCGGAGTCCAGACAACAATGCGCATGTAGTAGTGTGTCGTAATGTATATAGTGCTCCTCGGATGTTATGAACTCCTGGTACTTCATTTACGAGAGCATTTAAAAAAAAACTCTGAATATAGTAAATCTACGTACCAGGAGTTAATAACATCAAAGAACTTAATGCATTAAGCAAAGAAAAATTAATATGTGCAGAGAAAAATGTTCCTTAATGCGTACTTAAGGAATAGCGACAGAAAATTATATAGCTTCAGCGCAGCTTAAGTATTAGCACAGTAGATAAAGATACCTTTTACATAAAAAGAAAATTATTAAGTAATGTATTTTTAATTTTCTTTGAGATATGAAAAAAAAAATGTAAAGAAGTTTCTAAATTACATTAAAGATAAAAAAAATACTTCAAAAAAGTTTGTATGTAGATTATTTAAGAAATCCGAAGCGACAGGTACCAGGCGACCAGAACATGCTAAAAGTAGACTCACCACAGTGTTGAAGAAGGGATGATTTAAAGCGTCCATCAGGTCTATCCTGTTACTCGGTTCCACTACTAGAAACCGTCGGATGAGATCTTTAGGATCATCTGAAATTTAAAAAAAATAGTATTCAGTTGATTTTAACAGAGGGATAATTTAAACTAATATTATCTTCAATAACCTAGTAACCAATCAGATTCCATTGTCTTTTTTTTTAAATTTGATACATGATTAAACGATTTTTTTAGTTTCATCCCTATTTATTTTGCTCATTTGTCTCGTGGTTATGCATGTTTCAACCTAAGTCCCATATTCGACACCGAGCAATTCTTATACATTTTAGCTTAAACTCATATAATGTGTGTGTGTAGTCAAACAAATACATTAATAGGGTTACCTGATATATCCACCCACTCGGGGCTGGTAAAAGAATATTTCCCCTCCATTATATTCCTCAGCATCACCATCTGCTTCCGGTGCCAGAACGGAGGACATCCCACCAGTCTAGTTTTCAAAATATTGTGACAATAAATCAATCAATCACTTTACAAAATTATTAACCTATTTATTTGTGTCAAGACATTTTGTCTTGACAAATCTTGCGTGTGAGTATGAGTATTTGTGTGTGAGTATATGCATGTGTGTATGATGTAAGTGTGAGCATTTGTGTGTGAGTATTTATATATATGCATGTGTATATAATTGGAAACTTACAATGTGAACATGATGACTCCGCAGGCCCATCTGAAATGCAAATATCATAACTTAAATTTCAATATATAATTCGCAGTAAAATACCGATCGCCTTGTGGGTCGAATGAGTAATGACCATGACTACAGACAGTATCCCAAGGTTCGAGTTTGGTATTAGAAGTCTTTTTTTATTGCATAGATGGGTGGACGAGCTTACAACCCACCTGTTGTTAAGTGGTTACCGGAGCCCATAGACATCTATCTACATCTTAGATGCCGCCACCCACTTTGAGACATGAGTTCTAAAGTCTCAGTGTAGTTACAACGGCTGCCCCACCCTTTAAACCGAAATGTATTACTGCTTGACGGCAGAAATAGGCAGAGTGGTGGTACCTACCCGCGCGGACTCACAAGACGTCCTAACACCAATAATGGGTATGTTGATCTTGTCTGGTCTATGGAGAAATTTTATAAAAACTTTGTGAACCATTGAAATGTTGTCGACTGACTTGGTGGCGCAGTCGTTAGAGCTGACACATAGGTTCGATTCCCACCTGACAAACGAGTGACGGTCATTTTTTTCTCGTATATTGTAAACAATCATAGTTTTGGACCAGATGAGCGTGTGTAATTATTTCCCGATTATTTATTTCGAATATTTAATTTACACCGTATACTTTTTTTATTGCCTTTGTAGGCAGACGAGCATACGGCCCACCTGATGGTGAGTGGTTACCGCCGCCCATGGACTTCAGCAATGCCAGGTGCAGGGGCATGCCGCTGCCTACCGTGAAGTACTCTCCACAAGCCTCGACAATAACTTTTAAAATGCGAAAGATAAATCGGTGAATTTGAGAACTATATAGCAAACCGACCTGTACGTCACTCTCGCGACCGTATGCCCGGTCACTATATTCAGTTTTTAGTATCTATGTCCGTCTATTGACAGAGTGTATAATCTATGTTCCGGGCGCTTCCGTTTTGAGTGTGAATAGCGTGCGCCCGCGTCTCGTTGTAATTATCCTTTTAAATCGAAAACTGTTTGTGTTTAAGAAAGATTAGAATTCGAAATTCGACACTAGTGACTAACCCATAGTTTTATTGAATAAAAATACCCCTGAGATCTACCCCTCCACTATAGAACTCAATTTGTATACAACCTTCGTTGTTCTCGAAGGATGCCCTTCGAAATGTCAATACGGCCGATTTGAGAATTGAGAATTGCCCAAAGCGGCTCAGTGGTACAGAGTAATACTCACAAGTCGACCTCCATCCCGTAGCCAGGAGCGTCTTCGAACATATTCGCCTTCAGCGTCTCCGGGGCGAGGTAGCCTGGCGTGCCGCACAATTCTGACACCAAAAGACCATTCCATATAGACGAATCTATACTAATATATAAATCTACACTGGTTTTTACGGATGTTCCGTTATAACTACTGAACCATACATCCGATTGACTTGAAACTTGGTATCCATGTAGAAAATACATGTACTAATGGATAGGCTAATATTTATATGAGTGTTGGATTCTCTACATCAGTTGGGGGGGCGATAATGATGAGAATCCTTGTGGGGGTGAGAAATAATAATGTTAATTTTAAATGCTCATAAATATTAGCCTATCCATTAAGTACATGTATTTCTTACATGGATACCAAGTTTCAAGTCAATCGGATGCATAGTTCAGTAGTTATAACGGAACATTCGTGAAAACCAATGTAAATTTATATATTAATATAGAATAGATAGTATAGATTAAAAGTTCATGTTTTGTTTCCTTTACTTTCTAGCGTGGCTAATCTTATAGGCTTAAGGCCCTAAATCTTGAAATACATCACTGATGAACGGCGAGGCTTACAGCATCATCCAAATTGTAAAAAAAGCCAACAGAAATATAAAACGTTCATCTTGTCATGGACATCCTTGTCCGTGTTCACTAACAATACACTTTATATCATATTCGGAGCTTGACGAGTATTGTATTGTATATAGTTTCATATTGGGACCGGTTGTAACACAATACACACAATTCATTAGGTGGAGACTTATCTTTCTAAAGTAAACTACTATACAGCTTACTAACGGCGAGTCGTCACCACCGCTCATGGACATCAGATATACCAGGAGCGCAGACATTCTGTTCCCCAATGCTCAGAGTTCATTTCAAACTTTGATGAAGATGGGGGCAGTGGTTCCAGGCAGTATGGCTCCCCATAGACACAGCCCACTGAGTTTCTCGCCGGATCTTCTCAGTGGGTGGCGTTTCCTACGCGGCGGTAGATTCTGCGAAGCACTGCTCTTGCTAGGGCTAGTGTGAACATCACTCCGGTTTGAGCCCTGTAAGCTCACCTACTAGTTAAGGTTACGCTGAAATAGCCTCTCAAGGCTAGCTTAGGTAGGTAAAAAAAAAGTATGGCTGAACTGCTACGGTGACGGGAGGTACAATAGTAAAAGCCAATGAGGTAATGACCTCAAACAATTCTATCCCCGTGGAGAAAACGGTACAAAGTCAGAACATATGTCCCTTTGCAGATTCTGAGCGATCCATGTGATTAGAATTGTCAAGGACCCGAGCGGACCTTTTCTGTACTGACTCAAATAGAAATAGCCGGTACCAGGTACCACCTTGTACTCTTGGAACCTTTCAAGAGTGGGAATAGCATTTGTGATTTGATAAAGCCGTTTTTATGGACAACACCATACTGCTCATGTCTGTTACGATGCAGTTGCCTTTTCTATAATAAAATTAACGATTTCATACTTATAAGTGCGTGACAGTTTGCACTATGTACCTATGGACTTCGTAATCGACTGAGCGCTAGATACGTCTGCGACGACAAAAGCAATTCAGACACTTAATTTTTATGAAGCTTTATAGCTTTTGCTATACAATTGTTTTTTTTAAGAGCCAAGTGAGATCTTCTAGGGCCGGTCTTAATTGAAACTTTTTTAAATGAAAAACGACACTAAAATAAAACTAACTGTGAGCTGCGTATGTTATTTTGTTTCTAATTTCCTTTTAATACATTCTTAACTGAATTCAAACGATTGTCAAAAGTTATTCTGTTTTTGTCAATTAAAATCGAAGCGGACGTCCTAAATACATAATTCAATACTGCCAGCTAACGTACAATTTTACAAATATCCGATTACTTGATTTAAGCTTGGTATTGATGTTGCGCCGCTGGGTCACATGACGCGTGGACTTACGCAACTTTGACGTCAGACGCACGAGGTTCACCAATCGAAGAGTTTTTAACAAAAAATGTCTAGTTTACGAATTATTCAAACTAAGAATTGATTTTAAATGGGAACTTGTAGCTTTGCGAGGCTAGATAGGCAAAATTCAGTAAAAATTCAAAAGCGTAGTAGTGTGTAGGCAGCTGCTTGGTTCTGCGCCTGGTATTGCTGGCGTCCATGAGTGACGGTAACCACTCACCATCAGATGGACCTTATGCTCGTCTACTTGCAAAGGCAATTAAAAAAGGCCCCTTGGCTTATTTGTCGGACACTACTCAATCATTATTTTGCAACTATGCCGATATACAAAATCTGGAGTAGGTGGTGCCAATCTTAATAATACGAATTATTTTTTTAAATTGCAGGCAAACTTGCCCATACGGCCCACCTAATGTTAAATAGTGCTCATCGACGTCAGCAATACCGGGGAGCAACGCGATAATCCTCTTATTGTGACCGCTGCGGCGCCGCTAATTGCTTATCCAACCCAAACGCTGGAGATACGCAAAGCCGCCATCGCCCGAAACATGTCTTGTCGAATCTACCGGATCCTTTTTCGGTGCTTTTAAGCCACTCAAGCACCTGTCACCGTCTTCGTCGAGCTCATCGATTACTACGAAGAGTTCCACAAGCGAACTAACCCTCACGGGGCTCAAACCTGACGACGTTGCTAACACGAACCCTAGCAAGAGCCGTGCTTCGCAGAATCTACCACCGGATCGGAAACGCGACCCACTGAGAAGATCCGGCGAGAAACTCAGTGGGCTGTGTCTGTGGGTAGTGGCAGTCAACGTGTTAAATATTAAGCTACTGATTTAAGTGATTGACTTTAATTGCTTAAATCACTAACCACGCCATCAACTGGTAAATAGACATTCCGAAATTACTCACCGAACAGTCTCTCCCCGTCTTTGAGCACCTTCGCGAAGCCAAAGTCTGTGATCTTGACGTTGAGCTGATCGTCCAGCAGAATGTTCTCCGGCTTCAGGTCTCTGTGAACGATGTTCTTGCTGTGCACGTGTCTCACGCCTTCGAGCACTTGTCTGCGAATTATTTGTAATCTTTTAGTCGTTGTCCACTCGCACTACACGGAGTTCACGTTAAAAAGTTTTTTTTGCTATAGGTCTCATTGTCCACCTGGTATTGAGAAGTAGGGATCGACACGTCGGCTCTTCTGGAAAGCGGTACGATACGATAACGTGTTGTGGCCGCTTTTAATACATAGGTACCCACCCTACCAAGACGTCGGAACGCTAAACTTCCAGATCCAATCTCGGTGCTTTTAGGCATTCCAAGCACCAGTCACAGTTTTCGTCGAACTCGTCAACTTAACCCACAGAAACATTACTGAGTTTCCCACCGGACCTTCTCAATGAGTCGTGATTCCGATCCGGTGTTAGATTCCGCGAAACACTGCCGTTGATATGGCCAGTGTTAGCAAAATCTCTAAGGTTGAGCCTCTGAGCTCACCTCCCCGTTGGCATGTAGCTGAAATGGCCCCTTAGGCTACCAGCGAATAAGGAAGGGGAAAAAACCATCTTAAGATTAAGTAAGATTAGGATTATCGACAATTCGAAAGGTTCCGTTTCATATTGAGTCAAATGGAAGTAGCTGATATTCGGAGCGTCACACCAGAGATGGGATGAATACTCCAGCGGAAAGTTGACCTATGCTTTTTAGTGCACGGATTTTTTAAGGCATAAAAAATCCTTTATTTTTATTGCATAGATAGATGAATGAACTTACGGCCCTACCCGTCTGAAGAGATTTTAGTTTAGAAGAGAGTTTAGTTTTATTACACGTTATTCCTTCAACGTGGAAGTAATTCGTCAGCACGTGTTAAGTACGTATCTCATTAGAATTGGCATGTATGTCTGTATCTGTGGGATTTGAGCCCCGGCCATGGCATCTCTCGATACGAGTGTACTGGGTGTCTTATTCTTTACGCCACTACTTCCAAGACTTTATTTTGACAAAAAAACATTTTATGAGTAGGTATGTATTTAGGCAGCTTTTGGTAGACGCTTGGAAAAAACTTATAAATGACACGGCCATTTTTATTATTATCTTGTAAATTAACTGTTATACTGAAAATTGTTTGAAATAAAAGACAAAAACAACTAAAAATACATACAAAACGACGTCAAAGTCCGAAATAAAATCCCTTGGGGTGTTTCGTTGCAATGAGCACAACATAATTTTCATTTTTCAATTCTCGGCCACTATTTCTTATTACGCTGGATACGTATGAATATGGATTTTATATAAATATTGCTTGTCTCTTTTTTTGTCTATTCGTCTAGAAGCCCGTAGCAAAACCAGGACAACAGAACGCGATAGAAGTAAACGAACGACTGTTCCGTATCGTCGGAGTTACGGATAGGAACGCTTACATCTGACACGTCATGATGTTCTAGTACTCGACGACGCTTACGGCGATCTATGTGACATGGATATCTTTATTTCCTAGATAATTTTAAAGCACGAGCTGTATTTTCAAAGGTCTTTTTTCCGAAGTCGCAAGGATAAATAGTTTTTCATGAACGAAATTACAAGAATCAATACGTATAAATATGGTTGTGTAGTGAGGCTTCGGCCAGACTAAGGTCTCACTAGAGCAGTGATTATCAAACTTATTTCTTTTACCGCCCCCTTTGAAAATCAATTATTTTTCAGCGCCCCCCATTTTTTATACACCCCTAAAACTTTAAAACCACAATTTCATTAATTTAGTTAATAAATGTTGTATTAATTTTAGTAAATGTAGTACCACGTAGTACATATATATTTGTAGATGCTATTATTGTTTCTTCATATTATTATATGTCCGTACATTGCTACAGAGCCTGTATTTACAAATTTGCAAAGTAAAAATGAATTCTTCTTATCAATATGTTTGTTTAAATTCAGAATTACCAAAATAAATTGCTAGTTCACTGTACTATTACTATGCTAATTTATTAGAACGAAACTATTTTTGTTGAATATNATCATGTCCCTACCTACAAGATGGCAAAAAGTTATCGAACAAAATGGTACCGACATACTTTACTTAAATGCGAAGAAACTATATTAAAAAATGTTGTGAATGTTCTTAAAAAATGCGAAGAAGCTTTTTCCCCAACCTATTAATAAATAGAAATAAAATAGTAAACAATGTTTACAATAAGTGAGCTGTTTAGGCTTACTATACTATTTGATATTGGACGGTAATGGGTAAATTAAGTAAATGAAATTACAAATTTTACAGGGCCCCCCTAATCCACATCAACGCCCCCCATTTTTTCCTGGGCCCCTTAACGCCCCCCTCTAGGTTTCAAACGCCCCCCAGGGGGCGTTATCGCCCACTTTGAGAAAGACTGCACTAGAGGATGACCGGCTCGGTTTATTTATTTTTTTATTTATTGTTTTTTAGAAATTATATTTAAATACGAATTACATACCTATTGATATTATATTATATTATATTATTTGTTATTTTCTTCCAATAAAAAAAAAATGTTTATGTTTAAGTTGATTATCGATAAAGTTGATTATTGAAAACAAAATTGAATAAAACAACATTTTCTGAAAACAAATCGTAGCTAGATCGATTTATCGCCCCCGAAATCCCCCGTATACTAAATTTTATGAAAATCGTTGGAGTCGTTTCCGAGATTCAGATTATATATATTATATATTAATACACAAGAATTGCTCGTTTAAAGATAAAAGATAAGGTATCACCGATAAGTATCCCTGATAGGAAGTAAGTATGAGTCTATCTTAGTTAATGCCTATTAAGTTGAAAGCCGGGATCGTTTGGTCCAAAAGATCCCTATCCTGATCTGATAACAAAAATGCAGCAAACCTAAGTTTAAACCAAATATAAATTCACTGCAACACTCAAAATAAGTATTAAATTAATTCTAATTGAGAATGGCCAGTCCCTCCTGAGCCTATGCAAGTGTAGTGTTTGCTCACGCAAACATTAACTCTCTCCAGGTCATCCAATCCCGTTTTTGCAGGATAACCGTCGGAGCACCGTGGTGCGTGAGGAATGTCGATATTCAGGGCGACTTATAATTTAAAACCGATACGTAAGTATGTTAGAAGTCGTCGTGGCCTAAAGGATAAGACGTCCGGTGCATTCGTATCGAGCGATGCACTGGTGTTCGAATCTCGGTGGCGGGTACCAATTTTTCTAATGAAATACGTACTCAACAAATGTTCACGATTGACTTCCATGGTGAAGGAATAACATCGTGCAATAAAAATCAAACCCGCAAAATTATAATTTGCGTAATTACTGGTGGTAGGACCTCTTGTGAGTCCGCACGGGTAGGTACCACCGCCCCGCCTATTTCTGCCGTGAAGCAGTAATGCGTTTCGGTTTGAAGGGTGGGGCAGCCGTTGTGACTATACTGAGACCTTAGAACTATATCTCAAGGTGTGTGGCGCATTTACGTTGTAGATGTCTATGGGCTCCAGTAACCACTTAACACCAGGTGGGCTGTGAGCTCGTCCANCGTAATTACTGGTGGTAGGACCTCTTGTGAGTCCGCACGGGTAGGTACCACCGCCCCGCCTATTTCTGCCGTGAAGCAGTAATGCGTTTCGGTTTGAAGGGTGGGGCAGCCGTTGTGACTATACTGAGACCTTAGAACTATATCTCAAGGTGTGTGGCGCATTTACGTTGTAGATGTCTATGGGCTCCAGTAACCACTTAACACCAGGTGGGCTGTGAGCTCGTCCACACATCAGAGCAATAAAAAAATAATAAAAAAAATGTTCTAAAAATATCAAAAAAAAACTATCTAGTCTCAAATATAAAGGTCGATACTCAACTTCAGAAGCTAAAAAAGGTGGCAGAGTGTAGAGGCTAAGCAGTTTTACGCACATCTTAAAATTGATACAAAAGAATGTGTCGTGGAAGAAATAGACAGGATCGCGGTAGATCTGTACGGCCACACATTATACCCTAACATCAGCAAATAAGGGAATTTTTAGAAAGGCCTTTATTATTTATATTGAAATTATTTTCACCTTGTGTACTACGACTTCTTATAAATTTGTAGCTGGTTCCAATTATGAATCTATACTTCTATATCTATACTAATATTATAATCTATACTTCTATACTAATATTATAAAGAGGAAAGATTTGTTTGTTTGTTTGTATTGAATAGGCTCCGAAACTAATGAACCGATTTGAAAAATTCTTTCACTGTTTGGAAGCTACACTATTCCCAAGTGACATAGGCAATAATCTTTTTTGAAAAAAATTAGGCATCCTTACTAAAACTCCAATAATGTAACCCAAGGTGTAAAAAAATTAGCTAAAATATTCTTTACATCGCGTGCCCTGCGAAAACTATTGATGATAGAATAGAATAATGTACTACGACTTTGTACAACACATGATTATTTACAAAAAGTATCGCGACAGCATATGTCTAACTATTATAGTTAAGCCGCAATAAGTGTTATTTTATTTAAAAAAATAATACAACGTCAAATATCGTTGAAATTTTTGTTATAGACCCGAGCGGAGCCGGAGCGGGCCGCTAGTTAATGATAAAATAGGAACTAGACCTGATGTTGTTCAAAATATATAATATTCATCGATGAACTTTAAACAAAACCAAGGGAGTTGGAATCATAAAAGCAAATAATTACAAACTTTCATATTCACACAAGAATCATCATTATATTCAAGGCAAAATATGCAATTATCGCATGAAAATAAAACACAGCTGGCACGCTGCTACTGTAATTAGCTTGTCCTAGATAAATTAGTCGCTTTTTTTGCAGAATTTGTTCTTTGTATACACAGTTCAACTTTTGTCAACAAAATTACAATTCTGAAGAAGCTCACCTCACTTTTTAAAGAAAAAAATATCAATTACAAAAGAGTAACACATAAAGTGGATACAAACTTTAAGATGTTAATTGTTGTGTAATGATCGCAATTCCATCACTGGACGAATACCTACTAATATTAATACAGATCTAAACTGCGGTTTTACTCGTGTTAAATTTGTAATTCTAATATGCAAAGAATTCTTCTTTTTCTCCACCTTATCCCACTAGGTGGGGTCGGCACAGCTAATTTTTCTCTTCCGTTCTCTTCTATCAGCTGTCATCTCAACACTCACTCCTCTCTCTCTCTCATATCGTCATTCACACACTCCATCCATGTCTTCTTCGGTCGACCTCTTCCCCCCCTACCTTGCACTACCATTTCCATACATCTAGTCACATGCATCATGCAATTATACATGTTAATATTTTCCCAGGATAAATAGTTGTTTATGTGACTCTATCAGTCTATTTCAATCGATTTGTAGAGCCATTGGTATGTAAAATTAAGAACGAGCGAATGTCCTCTCGTATTTGTTATAACAGAGAATGAGGTATATCTTTGAGGTCGTCGTGGCCTAAAGGATAAGACCTCCGGTGCATTCGTATGTAGCGATGCGCCGGTGTTCGAATCCCGCAGGCGGGTACCAATTTTTCTAATGAAATACGTACTCAACAAATGTTCACGATTGACTTCTACAGTGAAGGAATAACATCGTGTAATAAAAACCAAACCCGCAAAATTATAATTTGCGTAATCACTGGTGGTAGGACCTCTTGTGAGTCCGCACGGGTAGGTACCACCACCACGCCTATTTTCCGCCGTGAAGCAGTAATGCGTTTCGGTTCGAAGGGTGGGGTAGCCATTGTAACTATACTGAGACCTTAGAACTTATACCTAGAGGTGGGTGGCGCATTTACGTTGTAGATGTCTATGGGCTCCAGTAACCACTTAACACCAGGTGGGCTTTGAGCTCGTCCATCCATCTAAGGAAAAAAATAATGGTAATAATATCGCCTTTGGAACATAGGTATGCCTTAAATTAAACACACAGGATTGGGATAAATAAACATGCTTTTTTTAATGCCTTTGTGGGCAGCTAATATGGCCCACTTGATAGCAAGTGTTTACTATAGCTCATGAAGATCATCAATACCAGAGGCATTGCCAAGCCATTGCCTTATGCTGAATAGTCAACAGAAACTGGATTCAAAGGACATGTCAAACAATTGGAACATAAAACAAAGGCATAAAATACAAACAGCACAAGATATCCCTGCATAGAACCAGTGGTTCCAAATGATTTGTGAGAATGGAATATTGATACTATATTAGATTTAGATTAATTTTTTTACTGGTGGTATGTGCTTTTGGTGGTGTATTTTATTTTTCTGGTAAGACGTCTTGTGAGTGTGCATGGGTAAGTACCAACACCCTGCCTATTTCTGGCGTGAAGCAGTAATGCGTTTTGGTATGAAGGGTGGGGCAGCTGTTGTTCTGTAATAATGGAGACCTACGAACTCATATCTCAAGGCAGGTGGCAGTATTTAGGTTGTAGATGTCTATGAGCTCCGGTAACCACTTAGCATCAGGGAGGACGTGAGCTCATCCATCAATCTTAGCAATAATAGTAGGTAATGTGGCGCCAAGTAGCTTCTGGGTCTGTACATGTATTCTTTTCTATATAATAAAAAACTAGGTGTGTTCTTTGTCCACATAAAGAAACATAATATACTAAAACAAATATATACAAAAAGTAGTCCCAGTATCACGTCTCTAATATCCCAAGAGCCCGCGACAGCCAGACCTTCGTTATTTTATAAAAGCTGAAAGTTTCTCTGTGTATGTCTCCAACACAGGTAAGAACGACCCGCGATTATAGAGTTCCGATTGTGGTTACTTGGGCAGGTAACAGGCAGTAAAGGTATATAAAATAGTACCTTAAATTCGTTAAAGTATAAAGGTTGTTTTTTTAATATTTAGTCCAGAATATCTTTAGAAATCATGATATCCGTTGCCGGACACTTTTTCCAGTTGTTACCCCCTGCCAGACACCCTTAAACTTTAATAAATTTAGTTATACTTTCGTTATACTATAAAAGCTAAATTTTATATATGTTACTTAGGGACTTATAAAAATATGTTACCCCAAGAGCCGGACAGTTTTAATGGTTCTTACATCTTGCCAGACACATTGAGAGCCCGCTGTAGGTGCGAGCGCGAGGTAGCAACTGTTCAAGCGGGTGTGAGCGAGATAGAGTGCTTAGTCTATTGTGATCTTTTACTGCACATCAGCTGTCGTTTATAGGATTTATCCGTTCTAAGCAGTGATATCGAGGCGCTACTCGGCATGGGAAGCTCTGTCATTCTGGCGGGCGACCTAAATTGTAAACACATCAGGTGGAACTCACACACCACAACCCCTAATGGCAGGCGGCTCGACGCGTTAGTCGATGATCTCGCCTTCGATATCATCGCTCCGCTAACCCCGACTCACTACCCGCTAAATATCGCGCATCGCCCGGATATACTCGACATAGCGTTATTAAAAAACGTAACTCTGCGCATATACATATATAAAATTTAGCTTTTATAGTATAACGAAAGTATAACTAAATTTATTAAAGTTTAATGGTGTCTGGCAGGGGGTAACAACTGGAAAAAGTGTCCGGCAACGGATATCATGATTTCTAAAGATATTCTGGACTAAATATTAAAAAAACAACCTTTATACTTTAACGAATTTAAGGTACTATTTTATATACCTTTACTGCCTGTTACCTGCCCAAGTAACCACAATCGGAACTCTATAATCGCGGGTCGTTCTTACCTGTGTTGGAGACATACACAGAGAAACTTTCAGCTTTTATAAAATAACGAAGGTCTGGCTGTCGCGGGCTCTTGCTCTATAATATTATGTAATCCTACCAAAAGAACCAGTTAGAAAAACAAAATTTAAGAAAAACACATACAAGATAATTATATTATATGGCCATGACCTGGTTTGATATGAATAGTAAATTTATATTGATGTTATTATTGATATTTTGATTGTGGATTCTAAAATTATATATATTTAAAGGTAATACATATACATTTTCACTTGTCATGGTAAACATATTATGTTAATGACAACAAAATATTATGAATTGTACTTAAAAAATATCAACTTTTGTTATTTACTTGTTCACTATCAAAAACCAGTTCTCTGCAATTGATTTGTAAGTGACCCCCGGTCTAAAAAAAAAAGATAGTGTATTATTTATTGCCTTTTTGGTATTACTAGTGATGCCCCAGTCGTCGAAATTAGACTATAATTAACTGAAATTATAAGTTTGAACAATATTATGGTTCTATTTTCAAAGATCACTAAACTTCTATAATCACAGATTTCGTCAAGACTACACTATAGACAAATAATAATAGACAAACAATATTCATCTATTCTCAATTTGACCACAGATTTTAAACAAAAACAAAAGTTTGACAATAAACAAATGGTCTGCGTGCGTATGTGTTAGTGTCAAGTACATAGTGTGTGTAATGTGTTTTATTATTGATTTAATGTATCTTTTATGCATTTTATGCATTTTAAAAAATTTTAGCATTCTTTTTTTTTTGTTTTTTTTTTATTGCTTAGATGTGTGGACGAGCTCACAGCCCACCTAGTGTTAAGTGGTTACTAAAGCCCATAGACATCTACAGCCTAAATGCGCCACACACCTTGAGATATAGTTCTAAGGTCTCAGTATAGTCCCAACGGCTGCCCCACCCTTCAAACCGAAACGCATTACTGCTTCACGGCAGAAATAGGCATTCTGCACTCCTTCTGTGTATTCTCTGTAACTGTGGAAAATTTCATACTCCTCTGTCTGTGCAATTTTTGTAAAAAGTGGTACAAAGTTTTTGCTTCATGTATTAATATATAGATTTGTTTGTGTTTTATATTTAGCAGTAGCTAATTTGCAATCATCTGTTTTAAGATAACAACAGGAAAACATTGTTATTTTTTTTCATTGTTATCAGAAGAAGCTTAAAGGAAGTGTAATATCAATGTCAAACGTGATAATTATTTTAGCTAACTTTGTTTACCATAGTTTAAGCCATAATGAAATAAACGTAAACATATATCTATAAATAATTGTGTCGAAAAGAAATCACTCAATTACATAAGATTTGAAAATTTTAATGAAATTATATTCACTGGTTTTAAGGTTGTAAGTTTACAAGAGTAATTATTGTAAAAATGTCATCTTCAATAGGTGTCAACAGCAATTGACGAACCAAGATCTACCTGTCAAAGCCCTATCAATAAACTTCAGCTGAGTGCCGATCCTTAACAGGTAATGCCATGTGATTTCATGAATTTTACAGGAAATGGAAAACTAAAGGTAATTGAAATACTCACCTCATTATATACCTAGTTTTCTTTTCAGAGAGTGTAACTACAGATGTCAAATAGTCAAACAATTCTCCATTCTTGCATAGCTCAAATACTAAGAATATGAATGTCTCTGATTCAAACACATCTTGAAGTTCAACTGAAATGGTATAAATGTTTTAGAATATTTTATTACTGACATCACATTATAGCTAACAAAATAAATCAGACTATTTCTTACTCATGTGGCAGGTAGCTATCATAGAACACAAGATATTTGACAGATGCCTGAATGTCGCTTACTACATTTTCAAGATAAAACTTGCATATACACAGGTACCGAACAAAAACATTTCGCCCCTTGGTCTACCGAACAATATCACCCACTCAGTGGAAGATCTTCCCTTTGTCGTTATTCCCAAATTAACATTTAGTGTGTGCTATCATGTGTTGCATGTGGTCGCGATCCTCAGTAGTGAGGGAAAGATATAGAAGAAGAGTGGGCTATCAAGGTTTTGGAGTTAAATTAAAATTTTATATCTCTGATACATTTGACAAATCATTAAGAACTCACTCACTAATGTATGGGTGTCCAGAGACCATCCTCAATATATGTATTTCTTGACGAGTGGCATCTCTCATTGTGTGTGTGTCCACTCCATCTTGTGATTCCTGACTTAGGTCTATGATCTTGGCTGCATATTCTCGTCCCGTTTCCTTCTCTATGCATCTTCGCACAGTAGAACTTATGCCTCTAGAATATTAGATTTTTTAAATGGATTATGTGTTAGATTTAACAATAAAATGTAGTTTTTCCGTTTAACGATCTTAATCTGAACATCTGTAGCACGATACCGTATCTGATATGCCCTGTTACTAATTTTGTTCAATTGGCGGAAGTTCCGAATAAGCCAAGGTCACAGAATTCTTCAGAGACTATGATTGGTTTCACAAAACCCTATGTTCTTTAAGGCGAAATTGACGTTAAAATTATAATCAAGTGATCATTACAAAAAAATACACACCTGCCTATGATTTCTTTGGGTTCATATTTTGCGTAAAATTCCTTGGCTGCATCTTTGTCTGGTAAATCATCATCTTCTTCCTTAGCCATGCCGCTCACTGCTACTATTATTCACAAATCTTAAAACTTCAACAGATTTTCCGATCTAATTAGACGTAATTAATAATTTCACAATGACGAAAGGTTATTGTTATGAACAACTGACGCTAAAAGAAGCAGAAATCTTACAATAGTGAATCTACAGATTTTTAATTGAAATAGTGGCCTAATTTCATGAATATTAAGATTTTTGTTGGGAAATTGGAACCAGTCCAAATTTACTACAGTAACGAGTTATAACAATAAAAAAAAATCAAAAACAACTTTTAGTTGGTAGGTCAGACATTGTCAGACATATGTAGTAGATTTTTATTGTCTATGATTTTTTTTTAAGAGATTTTATGACCTGGTAACTAAGACCTTTAAGTCATGTCTTATTTTACTTTATATTCTTAATTTTATGAAAAATGATAATATGGAGTGAAATGAAATGAAGATGATTAATTTGAAACATTAATCAACTGGGATGAAATTTAATGAAATGAGATGGGATGAAATATAATCGCAGTAAAATGGTGGTCATTTACTGAGATTTTTCAATGGACTTTTTGGAGGAACCCGAGAAGTTACGTCCAGCAGCTTTGTTTCATTTTCCCACATTTGTGCACTTTCACAGATATTAAACAGTTAATAAACCACCGTTATTACACATTTAAACCTGAAGAAACACTAAATAGACAAAATAAAACAAATCGCACAACTTCACTACTCGCGTTCCCGCCAAAAAGTCATATTGTCTATGAATGACAAAGGTACCATAGAATATTAAAATTTGATAGAATTATAAAACGATAATTTAAAAATAGGTACTAGGTCTACGAATAAATTATTTATTCGTTGTACTAGGTAAACATTTTTTGCAATCAGTGGACACACGCACGCGCGCACGCATGTAATAGCAATAGCAAATCGGTCTGTGAAGACAAAAATAATATTATCGTGAGTAAGGATTAGTAAATAGAGAAGTTAATGCAATGCTTACCTACTATGCTTACAAGTAAGAAGTAAAAGCAGAAGCAGAGCCATCTTAAATCGGAACCAATCTAAAAATCACTTAGTATTATTGCTGGTACAATATTATGAACCTAGAGAGAGAGAGTGAGAGAGAGCACGCTTTATTGCACACATACACTATTAACACACTTTACACCTGATCTCCCAGGGAGGAAGCGAACGAGAGATCAAGAGAAGGACTCAAATGGCCAAAGCTGCGATGAACAAGCTTATACGTATTTGGCAGGACAGAAAAGTCTCCAATGCTACCAAGATGAGACTAGTCCGGACGTTGGTTTTCTCGATTTTCCTCTATGGTGCAGAGTCGTGGACGATTCGAACAACAGAGCGGAAAAAAGTAGAAGCGTTTGAGATGTAGTGTTGGCGAAGAATGCTCCGCATACCGTGGACCGCCAAGAGAACAAACAAATCTAATCAGGACTTGAACTAACTTGGACTAATTGAAGAACATCATGATTTATTTATTATCTATTGTTATCAAAATTAAATTATAAGTTCTTAACTTGCCCACGACTATGTGACCCCCTCCTGGCGCCAAAGCTGGATCCGCCCGTGTAGGTCGTATAAAGTAAATCACACTAGTAAACAGATCAAACAACTATTTAGATCTTGAAAGTAAATTACCTAATATACACCATAATTTATCATACGGAGGTGAAGGATAATCCAGCAAAGAGCTATTATTTGAGGCCATGACCCTCAGAATTAGGGATTATCGACGAAAGAAGGAGAAGAGATGAAGGTGAAGAGATAAAGCTATCACTATATACCTTTATTGTTGCCTACCTATATTTACGTGTCGAGCGTGTTTGTGGTCTCTGTATATAGGTAGATTTAATAAAAAAAATCAGAATCACCGGCCCCATATACGATATTTTCCTGGATGAAATGTACGAAATTATATAGACAAGGAATTGTTCATTCAAACCACGAAAAACATTTTTAAGAAACACATTAAGCCAATTGGAAATAAATTTGAAAATGCCTTAGGTAGTTAAGGTCTTAACGATTTATATTGTAGTCACTAATAACTGTTTATTGCATGGTGACATACTGATGAAATTACAGTTCCTGTCTACAGCCTCCACAAAACAGTCGGAGCCAAAGATATATAATTTACGTCTGCATCTTCTGATTTCACCAAATACCATGTATGCTTTTCAACCACTTTTGAAAAAAGTTAAAAGAAAATAACAGCTGATTTTACACTATGGATTACCGAGTAGAACAAAAAGCACTATGGCATAAATTTTGTTTGGATGGTAGGTAGGTTATATAGTCTTTCTCTTTTTAATTTGACAGCTGATCTTTCAATTTGAACTGTCACACCACTACTTGTCTCGGTCTTGAATATGAAAATAAAGAGAGAAAAACATAATTTGTAAAGAAACACCAAGGACAATTCAGTCCTATTGCATCTTTTTCTTGCATATATTTTGTTGAAATTATAGTCTCCTTCTTGTTTTGCTTCTTGTTCCGTCTGATGTTCTTGGTTTTGTGAGAGCATTAATTCGCAACGTTTTAAAAACTCTTGTGTGTGTTTTGTGTGGAATCATCGGAAAGATCTGGATTTTGGTGTAGTCTTTTTACTTCAGCGTCCAGAAGGTATGAAACTATAATTATACGCACAAACATATCTGCATTGACAGACCTATTTAATGGGTACATCATTTTGTCAACCTTGAGAAAATAAATAGCAGTTTGATGTTCAGTGTCTTTGTTTATAGATCACAACGTGATTAACAGTATTATCGTTTTGGTTTTGTAATAATCGAAAAATGTTTATGCAACCACCTGCAACTTTCACCGTAACAAAGGAATGTCATAAGAGATAACGTAAATATTCAAGAAAATGTCGATTTACCAACTACCCTCAATCAATTGCCCTAAATATTCCAATTAGAAAATAATGTTACATAATTCAAAATGGAAGCACCATAAACCATTAACGGTCCCTTAAAATTTACTGATTTTTATCTTTAAACTATATTATTAGATGGAAGTAATTAATTGTAGATAGTTTTCATGAATTTTATGCTAATTATAATACAAAACGAAATAAATGTATTTAAGTAGTTTCAATAACTGAACTCTAGATTAAAATTTACAAAATTAAACTACAGTTTAACTCTCATCAATCTACTTAATTAGGATGTAATTAAATTATTCCCGGAAATAAAGACAGTTGATGCTTAGTAGTGATGTTTCTAAATAGGCTGGCAAAAATAATGTATGGAAAGTTATAAAGAAAGAATTTCAATCTATATTTAAAAATGGTGTGGGTAGATAGACATTTTTCATTTTCTTTGTTATTGCATATATAGGAGGAAGTATCGACAACATCTTGAGGGTATTAGAAAAAAGACTGGATGGCCGGACTCTGAGAAGGTTCATCAAGTTGTATGTTCTACATGCTGCTCGATGAGGCTGCCAGGGACGGAGTTGATATATTTACTGAAATACTAATATAGTTCTTAAGTTATTTGAAGTACTAATGCACTATGAGACTATGATGTCTTGAAATAAAAGATTTTTGTTTTTTATAAATGTGAGAAACAAATTCATAGCCAAACTTGGCGTTAAGTGGACTTGGGCCCCTAGATGCAAAGTAGATACCACTCTCTTAGAGATATCAGTTGTGGGGTTTCAACTGTATTGTAATTAGGTAAATTATATTGATGAAGATTTTTACCACAGAATTTTAGTCCTATATTCTGGAAGTCATTTGTGAACTTTAGTGGATACAATTATTAATATCAATTAATAATATTACAAGACACCATTTTATTACACAAAAATTGGTACCCTCTTGTAGGATGTTAACACCAACATAATCATACAGCTCAATATGTGTGCACCAGATGCCAACTACTTTTATAATACAGGGTTTAAATCTTCCACAAACAGCAATAAAATTTTATTATTTTATCAATGCGGGTAGAGCTTAAATTATAGTTTTTAAAAAAAAACAGCTATAATATATTAACTATATTATTATATAGTATTAACTGTCATGTGTACTTTGAAAAGATTTGCCATTCTGTAGCAAAAAAATGGCTTCCCGTTCAACGGTTTTGCGGTACTTGACTTCATCAGATCTTCTTGACAATAAACATAAATTTTTAAGAGCTACTAAACTAGATTTGACTACTTTAGCTAAGAACAACTAAACTAGAATAACATTGACCACTATATTTACCAGGGGTGCTTTTGAAATCTTTGAATATGTCAGATATTATATTTAAAATTGTTTCCAATTTTTATTTAAATTACCACAGGTAATTTTTCTGGAGGTCTGCGATACTACCATGAATAAGTCTCAGAGTGGAATGGTAGAAGGTATTGTGCTAGGGTAGGTGTAGTATATACAATGAAGTTAATATAATTTTATGGCATTCTAGTTTGAAAATATTATACAATTGGGACTTTGATCTCATTAAGGTGGTTCTGATGTTAATGGGTTTTGATATAAATAGGCTCTGATGACCTTTTAACTTCCGCAATGCTAAGAGCCATCTATTGAACTTGTGCAATAAACATAGTTTTCGAGAAAAAAGCTAGTAAGTACGTTAATCTCAAATATACTAAAAAACGAACGAATATTAAAAGTATCTCTTGCAACCACCCACTTGGTACTGCCAATGTCACTCAACTTTGGTTGGCTTGTTGTTATTGCATTCCTGTTAATTACAAATACAGCAGCGCGAACGTTTGACCTGTGAAAATTCAATGCTTATCTAGTAGTTCCAAACTCATAACATAGATGACGCTAGTTGACATTTAAAATGAGTTTAAATCTCAATAACAAACCAAAAGATTGACGGTTGTTTTTGGTTCCGAAACATTAAGTTCAGACTTGACTTGATAGATGTCCATAATTTTTTCGCGAACTTGGACTATTTCCAATTGGGTTTCAATAATTGGATTAAATGAACACTTTCTGAACGACTGTCACGTTTTTACGCCAATTTTATTTTTAACGCCAATTGCACGAAATTAATTGGTTTCTTGAAACTATTCGCACGCTACCTATCGCATGCTGATGATGCTATGATAAAAACCCTGCTTGCAGTGCCAAAATCTGTACCGTGTTTCATTTTAGTCGGATGATTATCAACGCATAGTGCATACCATCAATCTATCTGAGGTTTTAGAGACTGGACAAGCTGTCAACCTTATCTCTTTCATCCCTGGAGTCTTTTGTGTCATTTTCCCGTTCTCTATTCCTCGTATTCAAACACCGTCCGCATGGCTTATAAAAGCC